CAAGGATCCCGGCCCAGGTATGTCCGACCCGAGGCTGCTCCTAACCCCTGCACTATATGCTAAAGCTCAGAAACAGCACGTCGCCCCAGGCCCCACCAAGAGGAATTGTTAGCATTTGGCTGGGCTGAACTCTGACGCCTGTGCTCTGTTATGTCAACAGGGTGGGGGTCCGAGAGTGCCTCACTGAACCGCCTCTGGTGGTCAGCTGAGACTCTGAAAGGGGTAAGTCAGGAGACTGCAAAACCTCAGGCTAAAGGAGAAGAAATCTGCCAGAGAATGGAGAAACACCAAAAGAAATCATGAGAGAGGCCAGCTTAGAAATGAGTTGGTGACTCTGCCGCTGAGACTGGAGAGGCAAGGCTGAGAAGGCTCCAGACAAGGGCCAAGGAGCCGGCAGCAAAGAGACCTTGGCCTTGCTGCCACCTTGTGGCTGTGGAATGTTCGGTCCACAGGGCAAAACAGAGGTGGTCAGGTCTGTGGGTTCACTCTTCACGGGTCATTTACTGAGCCCCTAACGTGGGTCTGGCTGACTGCTGGGGCCTGGAAATGAGACTGACGTGGCTCCAACGTTCAAGGTCCACTGTTCCCTCCATCAGGCAGAGACCCAATCCTGAGAGGTTTACTTCTCCCTTTTCATAATAATTTGGGGGGTGCCCCTCCCCCAAACAAGACTGGGAAGGCAGAGATGGCATCTTATTCATGCCTGAAGCTCCAGTGTCCAGCACTTCCCAGCACCCAGTGCATCAGAATAATCATATGTGCTAAGTGCTTCTAAAGACAGCACATCTGATTCTCACACCTGACCTGTGAGATCACCAAATAGAGGTGCCAAAGAGGTGTTGATTTCAACATGAGCCTGGAGTTCTTGGAGAGGTCGCAGATGAAGGAATGAAAGTGAGCACCACCCATATACACAGATGGTGTCTAAAGGCCAGTGCCTCTCAACAAGTTTAATGTGCATATGGCTCACCTGGGGTTTTTGCTAATCTGCAGATTCTGATTCTGAGGTTGGGAGTGGGGTCTGAGATTCTGCGTTTCTAATAAGCTCCCAGGTGATACCAATGGTTGCTGGTCCACAGACCACACTTTGAGTGGGAAAAATCTAGACCAGAGGTTGACAAACTATGGCCAGGTCAAATCCGGCCTGTGTCCTGGTTTTCTATATCCAGCAAGATAAGAGCAGTATTTTTTTTCATTTTTAAAAGGATTAAAAAAAAGAATATGTGACTGAGACCACTTGTGGCTCACAAAGCGTAAAATATTTATGCTCAGGTCCTTGACAGAAAGAGTCTGCCAACCCTGATCTGGAATGCCACCCAGGGACGTGGGTATAGCCAAATGGGACAGGGCTGGGGACGGAGCCCTGAGCCAAGTATTTATGACTTCCTTACCGCCATGCCTCGTCCAGGCAGAAAAAATAAAAGCACAATGCACTGTTTGTGTGCTAATACTCATGCTAAAGAGACAGTGAGCCCTGGAAACGATGAGCTAAAGGCTCAGACTCCCAGGTGGGAGTGGGGAGCCCTGAGGAAAAGGGTAGACATTTGGGGTGCTGACTGGGGACGAAGACCTGCGATCTGATAACCGACAGCCTCTTCCATTGCTTATCTTGGGAAAAAATGACAAAAACAGTGGCCAAAGCAGTGGCCACCACCAACTGTGTGCAGTACACAGAAGTACACGTGCTGGAAAAATAAAAAGAGGAAAGGCTGTGAATTCTACGGGGTTGCCCCTTGAAACCTTCCGAATTCTGGCCGGGGTGGGGAGAGAAGAGGGGAAGGTGAGGGGAATGCGTTGCCGCAGAACGGGCTCCACGTCGTGTGTAGCTACAGCGCCTTCTGTCGCGCCTCCGCCACCTCTGTTGGGGACTGTATTGCTTAAATGTCAACGCCTGAAAAGCAAATACAGCTGGCCATTTCTGTCACCGTGCATCAATCAATCTGGCTCTCTTTCAATAAAGGACCAGGCTGCTTTGCTTTCAGCTGTGAAAGGTTTACTTGTCTCACATCCAGCGCTCACGTATATTTCCAAAGGACAACAATAGCACCCTTTCTTGGGGCGGGGTGGGGGCAGAAAAGACTAAAACTATCAAAATGACAGTGGCAGGATATCTGTAAAGCCAAGCTGTTCGTAAATGCTGGAGGGCAAATAAAGACAGAAGGATATTACAAAACCGTCATGTGCTGCAAAGCAGATCCCAGCATTTCCTTGTTGGAAGGAACCTTCAGTGTCAACCCGTCGCCCTCCTGCTTTCCACAAAACTGCCTCACATCACAATTGGCTTTGGCACAGAACATTCTTCTTCCACATCTTAATAAATTAAAAGACACTTAAAATCAAAAACAAATCCCTGCCTTTTGACCTACGAACTCCTGCCTTCTCAAGCCCCCACCCCTCGCTCACACTCGTCTCCCCAGCAGGGAGGGAGTTCTTCCAAGGAAGCAAGTGATCGTGCGGCACTCAAGACACTCACTGCTCATCCCACAGCCGCGTGGTAAGCAAGTCCTCAGTCTACTCAAGCTCTCAGTTTTTCTGACACCTATCTGCTGTCTGATCTTGGACAACTTCCTTAACCTTTCCAAACCCCAGTTTCCCTACCTGCAAAGTCCTATCACAATAGGGCCGTCTTGAGGATTAGATATGATGACACACGTAGAATGCTCAGAATGGCGGCTAGTATGATAGCTGACGACCCCTAGAATTCAATCAGAAGATGAAACTGTTCTACTCCACGAATCACCCTCCCACCCCAAAACACATCACACCAGAGCTGGCTTTCTCAACCTCAGCACCACTGTTTGCTGTGGGGACCATCCCACATTTTCTAGGATATTTAGCAGCATCTCTGGCCTCTACCCTCTAGGTACCAGCAGCACCCCTGCCTCCCCGGTGCTGCCCACCAAAAATGTCTTCAGAGATTGCCAAATGTCTCGCTCCCCCTTCCACAGAGAACTACTGCACTAGAATACGTAGATCAGTTAGGGAGTGTTCACCATGCCCCCTCCCTCCCCACTCTCCCCACAGGCAGCCCCCTCAGCCCCACTCGCTTACCACTCAGCTGCCTTGGAGGGAACAGGTGATAGGTGCTGTAGATATCATTGGAGAACTGCAGCTGGAGCTCAGGGCTGCCCGTCAGGACCTGGGCCACCTGGTCCACCTGAAACGGCGTCTTCTCCAGGATCACAATGGCATCCTCTCCGTCGCCATCCCCAGAAGCCTCATTCACCTGTGGGCAGAGCCATAGGTGAGGCCTGGAGAGCAAAGGTAAAAGCTCCTGGGGCCTCTGTGAGCCCAATACTTGGGCTTTTCTTCCCCATAGTCTTCCCTCTGGGGAAGTCTAGTCAATGGCACTCATGTTTCTTCTCCCAAAGAAGGCATCTCATTAACCAAATCCTCGTGGCAGCTCTCACATCTTTTTTTCTAAAAGATGCAAAGCTTCTCAGGTGTCTTCTGTTTTAGGCTCACGAGGACTCTATCAAATTCTCCTCACTTTACAGATGAGAAACTGAGGTCTAGAGAAAATTAAGTGACTTGCCCAAGGTCACATGAATAGTCGCTGTCAAAATAAGCTAGAATCTGGGTATCCCAACTAGCTTCTAGCTCAAAGGTTCTCACGGCTAAAATTTTCAACAGGTGCTGCAGACTAAAGACAGGTAGGGCTGAAAGAACCAGACAGAACCTTGCGAAAAACAAGAGCCACAGAGAGAGGCATGGAAGCCTCGGCCCAGGTCCCCCTGATCTTCCCAAAAGTGAGAGCTCCTACCAGTTCTGGGGAACTTTTGGATAGCCTCCTCACAAGTTCTTGGGATGGTCTCCAGCCTCTCCTTAACCCCTGCTAGAGCTGAGCACATGATTTTAGGGCCAGCTGTGTCTGCCTGTCTACCCGACGATACTCTGCACTCCAGAAGGTCAAGGATGCTAACTTCCATCTCTACAACCCCTGCCCCAGGCCCGGCAGCGCATAATATGTGGAAATGAATCACCAATTTAATAAACTCTCTCCTCTGTTAGGGTTGAAGTCCTGTACAGCCAGGATCATCTCTCTTACAGTCTCCATGTCGCTGCCTGGGGCCTGGGTGAGCAAGACCGCCGAGCAACATTTACTGGGTCCCTACCCATTACAGATTTAATAAATGAATGATGAATGCTTCGGAAATTTAACGTCATTTTTCACTGGCAATAGATCTCCAAGTGTTAGTTTTTTATTTTAGTAAGAGAAGAATTAGGAAAACTAGCTGTACGCGTGTTAATTCCCTTAATTTCAGGGGTAATCGTGTCTCCTCCACGAACCAACTCCCCCCTATGATTTTAGTGGAGCACTCTGCCTCCCGCCCCGAGTAACGCGATTGGTATTTTCCGAAGAATCTCCCCCTCAAAAAAAAAAAAATTCCGCCTCAAAGGCGACGATTGGATCATTCCTTCCTGCATCACCACCCCAGGGCTGCCTAATGGTACCTTCCCGT